CGTTGCTTGCTGGGCCTTGTAGTCTCGCAGGGTTGGTGGCGCGCGGGCAGCTCCCGGAATAGAATCTCACTGCGTTCGTGCTGCGCACCGTGGCATTCTGGTCCTGGTAGTCTTTGGTGGGAATGGAGGAAATGGCGGCGAAGCTGTATTCTCGGTTCCTGGCTCCCTGGCCTGTCGCTTGTTTACCCATCTGGGCTAGATGAGCAGCGAGACGTAAAAAAGAACCATACGTCGCACTCAGGACTTTGCACTTTCCTTAAAACCCTGGGAGTTACCATTAAAATTCAGCCTTTCTGACACTCTTACCTGTCTCATTCTTCCCGCCCAGTACGGTCAAAGGGAGAAGCTGGGTTGGCCTCTCCCTGCCACTGGGCCCCCACTCAGCTCTACTCAGATGTCAGCTCCTCTCATGTTCAAAGATCCCCAGAACTGGCCCTTGAATAACCGCATCAAATGTTCTCAGCTCTCCCTTGCTCCTACATAATGCGCAATAAAAAAGAGCGTAAGATCTGAAGTTCCAGCAAGCGTTCAGTCTAGCTAGGTTGGGGTGCTTATTAGCTACATGACTTTAGCACTGTATCTGGCTCTCGGTGTTCTGTGTTAAAAGGAAATGCAAACGTGCGTTTTCTTTGTTTGTTTGTTTTTGAGATGCAAATAAAATGTGTAAATACTTATTCTCCTCTATGTTGCCTCACATTTCTGTCATACTTTTTAAAAGGTATGTTTTTATTGATTTCAGAGAGAGGAAAGGAGAGGGAGAGAAACATTGATGAGAGATGCCTCCTGCATGCCCCTTAAATGGGGATGTGCCCTGAAACCTGGGCATGTGCCCTGACGAAGAATAAAAAATTAAGATACTTAGGAATAAAGTAAACCAAGAAGGTAAAAGACTTGTACTCGGAAAATCACAGGATGTTGAAAAAAAGAGATAGCGGAAGATAGAAACAAGTGAAAGAATATACCATGTTGTTGGATTGATAGAATTAACATCATCAAAATGTCCATACTACCCAAAGCAATCTATAGATTCAATGCAATCCCTATTAAAATACCAATAGTATATTTCACAGATCAAGAACAAATACTAAAAAAAAATATATGAAACCAAAAAAGACCCCAAATAAGCCACAGCAATCTTGAGAAAGAAAATTGGAGGGATCACCAATACCAGATATCAAGTTATACTGCAAACCACTATAATCAAAACAGCATAATACTAGCACAAGAACAGGCATATACACCAATGGAACAGAACAGAGACCCCAGAAATCCACCTGAGCCATTACAGTCAATTAATATTTGACAAAGGAGGTAAGAGCACACAGTTGAAATCAAGACAGTCTCTTCAATAAATGGTGTTGGGAAAATTGGACAGATACAAGCAAAAAACAAAAAAAGAAACTAGACCACTAACTTACACCATACACAAGAATAAACTCAAAATGGATAAAAGTCTTAAGCATGTCATGAAACCATAAAAATCCTAGAAGAAACCATAGGCAGCAAAATCTCAGACATCTCCATAGCAATATGTTTTCGGATACATCTCCTAGGGCAAGGGAAAAAACTAAGGAGAAAATGAACAAATGCAATTACTTAAAAATTTTCTGCACAGCAAAAGAAACCATCAACAAAATGAAAAGGGAGCCCACTGTATGGGAGAACATATTTGGCAATGATACATCTGATAAAGGGTTAATATCCAAAACATATAAGGAACTCATACAATTTAACAAAAAGAAGACAAACAATAAAAAATATTCCCAGCTGATCTGGCTCAATGGTTGAGCATCAACCTTTAAGCCAGGAGATCACTGTTCGATTCCTGGTCAGGGCACATGCCCAAGTTGTAGGGTCGATGCCCAGTAGGGGGTGTGCAGGAGGTAGCTGATCAATGATTCTCTCTCATCATTGATGTTTCTATCTCTCCCTCTCCCTTCCTCTCTGAAATCAATAAAAAAATATATGTTTAAAAAATGGGCAAAGAATCTAAATAGACACTTCTCCAAAATGAACATACAAATGACCAAGAGACATATGAAGAAATGTTCAAAGTCACCAATCATCAGAGAGATGCAAATTAAAACAACAATGAGGTATCACCTCACACCGGTCAGAATGGTTGTCATCAACAAATCAACAAATTGCCCTAGCTGGTTTGGCTCAGTGGATAGAGCGTTGGCCTGTAGACTGAAGGGTCCCAGGTTCCATTCCAGTCAAGAGCACATGCCTGGTTGCAGACTCAATCCCCAGTAGGGGGTGTGCAGGAGGCAGCCAATCCATGATTCGCTCTCATCATTGATGTTTCTCTCCCTCTCTCTTCCTCTCTGAAATCAATAAAAATAAATAAATAATTTTTTAAAAGATCAATGGAAACTTATCCTCAGGTGAGGATTAACAAGAAACAAAACAAATCAACAAATGATAAGTGCTGGTGAGGATGTGGAGAAAAGGGAACCCTGGTACACTGCTGATGGGAATGTAGACTGGTACAGCCATCATGGAAAACAGTATGCAGTTTCCTTCAAAAAATTAAATATGGCACTGCCATTTGATCCAGTGATCTCAATTCTAGGAATATATTCTAAGAAACCCAAAACATCAACTGGAAAAAATGTATGCACCCCTATGTTCATAGCAGCACAATTTATAATAGCTAAGATATGGAAACAGCCCAAGTGTCCATTAGCAGATGAGTGGATAAAAAAGTTGTGGTACATTTACACCATGGAATACTATGCAGCTGTAAAAAAGAGGGATCTCTTACCCTATGAGATAGCATGGAGGGACCTGGAGAGTATTATGCTAAGCAGAATAAGCCAGTCAGAAAAGACAAGTATCACATGATCACACTCAGATGTGGAATATAACGAACAAAAAAACTGATGAACAAAATAGATCCAGAGATATAGAAGCATGGAACAGACTGGAATTTCAGAGGGAAGGCAGGTAAGGGAGGGTGGGTGGAAAGAGATCAACTAAAGAACTTGTGTGCATATATGCATAACCCATGAATACAGACAATAGGGTGGTGAAGGCCGGAGGGGGGGCGGGGAAGAGGTCAATGGGGGGGGGGGGGGGAGAAGGGGTAATATATATAACTTTCAACAAAAAAATTTTTTTAAAAAAAGGCTTGTTTCTATACTTTTTTTCCTTGTTAACTGCTCTACATTCTCCATCCCCAACAAGTCTTTCTAGCCTAGTGACCACAGCTGCTCCCCTCCCCCACAGCCCTAAAGGCTAATACTTTATTTTGGAATGAACAGTATATATGATGCTACATCCCATAAATTTTGTCTTCCTCTCAGACTTAAAGCTGGCTTCTCAAGAGCAGGAACTATCAGACTATGGGAAGATCATTGGGTGAGAGTTGGAAAAAAACACACAAAAAACAAAACCTGGTGAGGGCTGAGCTTTCATTTTGTTTGTGACTATTTTTCCTTTAAGTTATTTGTATGTGTCAATAGTTGTCTGTTACAGAAAGTAGAGTGTGGGTTTTCCCCCAGTAGTTTTTAGCTATAATAAAAGTTTGTGCTGAAGTCTCGTATTGTTATCCTTGCCCAATCCTATCATGTTTCATGACTGGCTGTGAGATCTTGTAAGATGTCACTTCCAATAGCCATACCAAGCATCTCCATAAGGTCTCTACACTGAAACTACATTTTAAAAATACCTGAGGTATGATGAAGATGTCAACAGTCTTTCTGGGATTCTGAAAATGCCAAGGCTTTCCTTATCTTGAGCAAATTAAACTAGCTCGCAGTTGACAACTGAGCTCAAACATAAGCCACAGAGGACATTACCCCATCGAAGCTTGGATATTTAATACATTTATTAAATTAATTTCTAAGTTCTTCTCCCAGTACTATCAGACTTCTTTCTTTTCTTTTTGTAATCCTCCCCAAGGATATTTTTTCATTGATTTTTAGAGAGTGGAAGAGAGAGGGAAAGAGAGAGGAATATTGATGTGAGAGAAACACACTGATTGCCTCCTGCATGTGCCCCCAGAAGGGCCCGGGCCAGGGAGGAGCCTGCAACCAGGGTACCTGCCCTTTACCGGAATCAAACCCGGGACCCTTTGGTCCGCACGAAGTTCTATTCACTAAACCAAACCGGCTAAGGCAGACTTTCCTGAGTGCTGTCTTTCACCAACAGAAACAGTTGCACAAAGAAGGCTTTGCTGCTGCCTCCAGATTGTATGTCCACTTCTATACTGCGGGCTTGTGGATTTCCTTTAGTTTTTATTTATTTATTTAAAAAATATGTTTTTATTGATTTCAGAGAGGAAGAGAGAGAGATAGAAACATCAATGGTGAGAGAGTATCATTGATCGGCTGCCTCCTGCATGCCCCACACTGGGGATGGAGCCCGTAACTCCAGCCTGTGCCCTGACTGGGAATCGAACTGTGACCTCCTGGTTCATAGATCGATGCTCA